TTTTTAAAGTTATTAATGTCTGTTTAGGGCTTATATTAGGGTTTGAGATTAGCAAGAAATATAGTAAAATCGCCCAAAGAAAACTTTTAATTAGAACAGTTTCCTATTTTCCTGATCGTGTTACGTTAGTGTTACGTTACACCTGATCTTGAAATGTGATTGGTTTATACCACATTTTTGGTGGTTCCGGATAAATTTTAAATCCGGTACTAAAATAATTCGGATAACGTGTGTAACTCACGTGCATAAAAATGATAAAATTTCAAAATGCCTGGTAAATGATAAATAGAAAATGCTTTAAGTTTTGTCTTACGCTATTTACAAAAGAAATTCACTTAATACAGTTTACCCTCGTTATAACGGACCCCGTTATAGTGGATGCCTCGTTATAACGGAGCAATTTTCTGAAACAATTTAAAATTTTTATTATTATGTTATATAACGCTATAGCGGATATTCATTATAACGGACAGAATTTTTCAGCCCGACCACTACGTTATAACGAGGTAAACTGTAACGACATAGTACTTAAGAGTTCGGAAGACGATTATTATATTAGATCTATATTTAATTGTAGAAAATTATTTTAAAATTGGGGAAACCTATACATGGCGTAGAAATATTGCGGCACTTCAGAAAGTAATTCGGTATTGATTTTTGCATAATACGAAGTTGCCAAAATATTTCGGCAATTTAATAATGCCGAAATACTTTCGGAAAATCCGCGCTTAGTTAATTTTTATTATGCAAAAGTGGATTTCACCTCTATGATAGCGGATTTTACTATCATACAGCCTCGGCTTCACCCTGTCGTACATGTAAATAATAATAAAATGTCGATACAAATTGTCCTCTTCAAATGAGATGATTATCATAATAACGAAATATTGATATAGAGGATCTTCATTTGAGATTGTTCCATTATTATTATATCGTTATAAGCTGGTGTAGATCGCGTACACGTAGATTGCCTAGTCCATAATGTATATCTGAAACATGTTGAAAGTATAATAGGGTTAAAGAATATAATTCTTACATGATTATTAATGTATTATTTTAGCAATTTTTCTTTATGTATTGAATTTAAACATAGTTATATATTTAATCACTTAAATATTGTTATGACTTTTATACATATACTTTACAATTGAAGTAATAATAAATTACCAGAAAATTTGGCTACGTATATCAAAATTAAATTTGAACATATTTGGTATAGTGAAATTCTTAATCATATATTCGTACTTTTTTTATCGTTAATTTCATAACATAAAATATTCATATTATTCTATTGTTCCTATAATATTAATGAATACATAACATTGTGTTTCGCGTTATCTTTTAGAATAAAACACTAGAAAATCATAACTATGTTATTAGTATGCGCTTGAATTCTCCATATTTCTCGATTTTCAAATGAGAGGAAATCAATCTTTGCATTTAATGCTTTTTTAAACCATATTTTCACACTTTAAGGCCTCTTGATTCTTTGAATCTTACAAAAAAAACCATTGTAAGCGTGATAATTAGAAATTATAAAAAATTTACAATTAAGAAAACAAGTTATCGTTATTTGACACTTGTGACACAAACGACCCTGCTTATGCACTTGCTGACTTGTCCACAACTTTCATCTTTCTGATATACACTTTTTAGATATACTCTTTTTGGAAAATTAAATACTTCTTGTCACGAATCAAACTGAACGAATAATCCGATAGTCACGCGAAATGTAGATAGATGCACTCTTCTAATTCTAATTCACATGACATCCAACGATAGATAATTAACAATAAATTTTGCTACGTATCTGATTGTCGCTATTCTTAAAATGGTGATTATAACTTAATTAAGGTTTATTGCTATATCGTTTGTGCAGAATCGGACATTTGCTTATCCCATTCATTGGTTCATCCGGCTTCGATCTATGTGCGATATGATCTTATGATTATAGTTCTTTTTATGAACAAAAAAAAACAATCAAACAATGTTGACTTAAATATCATCAAAATTGGCAAATCAGTGAAGAACATTCATCCGAAATTTTAACATACGATGTGTACTTTTATTGTTCTGTAGTATAATATCGATTGAAATATGATCCAAGATTTTAACGAATATTGTGCAAGAAAACAGCATAATATTAAGATGTAGTTCATAATCGTATTTGCACCACTTGATTGTATGATTGTACTGATATTAATGAGAATTCTCAACGTTGAGTGGAAAATTCATTATAAATAAGGCCTTTACTCCTTTAATTTTTAACTTCAGATCCTTCAAATTTACGAAAAAATAAATTTCCAAATTTCTCGAGACAAAAATGAATCCAACTTTCATTTCTTCTACCACTGCTGGCACCACTGAAAAACCTGATGGTGACCCAGTTAATCAATGCTCCATTATGCGCTCTATCAATGGTGCTACTCTCGGTACAACCGAAAAACCCGACGGTGATCCGGTTAACCAATGCTCTATCATGTAGACTTTTACAGAAAAGACAAGTAAAGGGCATCCTAATTCTATCCATGGCTTTTGTAACGGATGCTCCTCATTATTTTCGATGAATCATCTGTCCTTTAACAGATTTATCCATTACTTTTTTCTCTTTAGTTATTGTGAATTTTTTTATTGTTTGTCTTATATCACTATTTTAATGAATTTTCTTTCTTTCATGTATATGTCCTTTTTCAAAATTAGTGTTTGATTTTTATTTGTCTCCCTCAATTCAAAGCTAGGATCTATTATATTTTGTATTTTTGATTTGTATTTTCGATTTGTATTTTTGACTTTGATAGTCAATCTTACTGTATAAATAAATAATGTAATGTTTCATAATCATGACATTCAAGTCTTACTGTTTACGTGTTTTTAAAAAAAATTATAGTGCTGACGACAAAACTTTAAGTGCAAGGTATATTTTATTTCTTTAAGATGTAGATCTAAAGTATGTGAAAATGAATATTATGACAGGTAAAGCACAGCAGAAAATGTCGCGATCACATGACTCTTGATCTATTATTATTGTTGTATCCCAAATCAGAATTTGTTCAAAATTAAAAATTTTTATTCTAAACACCAACTGTCAAAACGAATATCCTAAATAACGAATCATATCTATATTTATTCAAAGCGCCAATTATGTAACTTGTGAGGTTGTCTTGATTACGGTTTTGATTATACGTACATTCTTATTATATATTATTAAATGTGGGTATGTTAGTAGAAATGAGACAAATCATTTTTAGTATTTTTTTTTAAATTTAAATTACCGCGCTTTTCAAATTACTGTGTTCTCGCTCATCACATGAAAATCGGGAAATTTTTCTTAAATTCTTATTCTTTTTACAAATTTTTATTTTAGTAAAAACATCCATTAGTATTCTAAATTTGGTGGTGCAGGATCAGGCAATACAAAAATTTTCAATTTTTTTTGCTAATTTCAAAGATTTCCGTTGCATTCTAATTTTTTATAATATCCAATTATATGCTAGATTTTTAGTTTCTTAACCAAGTAATAATAAAATTTTTTGGTTTTTTTTTTGTTAGTTGAGCAGGTAATAATAAAAATTTTTTTTACAAAATTTTAAATTATTACTCTTTTCAAATTACTGTGATTATCAAATTTTCAAAAATTAGAAATAATATTATAATACAATACTATAATTGGCTAAAATTACTACAAGTCACTCTCGTTATAGTGAAGTTCTTGGGCTGTGAAAATTTCTTCACTATATCGAGAGATTCACTATATTGAGAGTCTTTCGATATAGTGAAGTCGATAATAAATTGTATCAATCTTCACTATAT